CTATGTCCCAGGCTTTGTATCTGTAAAATAGGAATAGTCATAGTGAGTTTTGGTAGGATTGCTCTTCTAAGCATAAAGTGCCGGCAAGTGGCAAGACTTCTGGAGTGTTAGCCACATATAGCTCTAGAAGTGCCTGCCAGCCCCCTCGGGCCTTGCTACTTTGGCCTAGTCCTAATTCTACTTCCACTCCTACAAAAGCTCCTGGCTGCTTTTGCTGTGGAGTGCAGATGCCCACAGTTAAGCCAGGAGATTAGCAGCAATTCTTGGTGGAGACAATCAGTAGTTACAAGGTTCCCAGGGGAGTCTGCCGCTTCATTAGGCTTTCTTCCTGGCATAACTTAAAATTGAAAAGGCTTCCCCAAGCATCTTGTGATTGGAACAAATATTTTTCATTCACCCGCCACATACTTATTTAGCACATTTTAAAAATAATGGCCAGCACTGCATAAACAGTCCCTCTATAAATGCTGCGTTAAGCTTTTTCCCTTCATTCACAACAAGGCTATAATCTTATTCTTCACATTTTGCACATGAGGCTTAGAGAGGTAAGGGACATGCCTCAGGTCACGCCATATATGGCAGAACTAAAATTTCACCAGTGCCATAGCCAGCTTTTAACATTTCTACCTCTTCCTGATATCCAAAGAACTTAGCGCCAAACCCACGCAAACTGGCAGAATGGTCTGTGCTTTCCCTGTTCCTCTCCCTGCCCCACACTCCTTTATCTGAAATGGGAGCCTGCAAATCTCACCTCCTTTCCTGCTAACTCAGGGGAAAAATCCCTCGGCTTCTGTCTGTCCACTGAAACCAGAAGAGAACAATGCGGGAGTAAGCACTGCTATTTAGTCACACAAAATCCAGGCTTCAGTTTAAACTTTGCACACAAAACCCCTCTAATCTCTCTGCCACTACATTCAGACAGAAGGTATGAAGAGGGACCTCCTGATTTTCAAGTCATACAGATGTAGCTGTGACAAAAGTTGGGTGTGTCTATGTTAGGAATTTTTTTTAATTCAGGTAGGTGTTTTGGGTTGATTCAAGCAAGCATTTTTTTAAAGAGAAATGAAATCCTTTACTGTAATTTGCAGTATTTTATCAACTGTACAATAACACTAGGCCCAAAGCACAAATCATGTGACTGTATGCAAAAGGTCCCTAAAACAATTTACGGTGATATTAAGTGAAATCTGTACTTCCTTAGCACTCGGCCACCCTCAACCCAACCCCTACCCCACACACACAGGGAGAGAAACGGAGATAGAGATAGTGACAGGATCAAACCCAAGGTCACCTTGGTGGTTTAGCAGCACAATTCCATTCCTAGTCAGTGCAATTCACATCTTAATATTCCATGCAGTGCTTTGAAATTTTTATTAATAAAAAAATCCATGGAACAAATCTTGTGGTTAATTCCAGCACAGAGACCCAGAGAGAAGGCCCAGAACTCACTGTCACTTGGCCTCTGAGTCTCCCATGGGCTCAGCTGTCCAGACACTGCAGACACCTTGGTTCACCACATCCCCACTTGGCAGGGAAACTTCCCCTCCATGACTCAAGAAGCACAGAATAAAATATCTGCAGCAGAACAGAGGTTAATATACTGGGAATCATGATCTCCAAGAATGGCCAAAATGTTGTTCAGAGTACAAAACATAAACAAAGAAACCCTCTCTCTTACAAAGAAGGAACAAACAAAAGACAAAACTTTCATTTCAGTGAATAAAAGGAAACTAGTAGTATAAATGTATGAATGAAATTTATTTTTTCATAGAATAAGAAATATTTTATTAATATCTACTTGTGTTACATTAAAAGAGATAAAGAAAGAGCACAGAATATCTTGGTCTTTTCCAGTCTCTCAGGTCAGCAGCACCTGCTCAGGTGTGGCCCTCCGAGCCTACCCTTCTCAGCAACCTCCACCAGGACTGCCAGCCACCCAGTTCTTCACCAGGAGTAGGTGGCAGACAAATGCACATGTGCACTGGGGCCTGGTACTGCAAGCTGGTGTTAGGGAACATGGTTCTGCCCTTTGCTAAATTGGAGACTTAGGCTCTGTTTATCCTCCTCTGTGAACTTCAATTTCATCACCTATTAGATGGTGACCATAGAACTTATTTCATTGGACTATTGTGAGATAGAATACACAAAAACATTTGGTAAATACGATATTCACATCAAGGCATTCTGGCTTTCATCCTCTGTGTATTTTCTCTTCATAATGCAATTTAAAATTGACATAGTTGATTAACAATTTTGGCAATAGTTCTAAGCAAAGTTCTGAAACAGGTGAAGCTAAAAGAAGAAATGCTACCTGCAGAGAATCAGTACTGAGCTCACTTGTAGCTAGCAGTGGAGGAGAAATCCATGTGTGAGAAGAGGCTGGCTGGGTTCACCTTCTCCTGGGTCCTTTGAGAGATGTCCACTGTGGGAACCACTAAGATTATACTAATAGCTAAGGAATCAAAAAAGGTAAGTAGATAGGAAATAACAAGCAACAAGATCATTAGATTTACGCACTGTAGTTTATCCATCTGTAGCAAGCGCTTTCTTGTGGGGAAGCCTCCCTGCCCCAGTACCCTCTGCCTCCACGTGGTGGAGGTCACACTTAACATCACTAACCAACCACACCGTTCTTCCTGACTGAGTGAATCCTACCCTAGCCCCTTGTACTCAGGTATCAACTACCAACCAGTTAAATCCACCTGTGGTTCCTACTTTAGACTTCTAAAAGTCACAATCAAAAAGACCAAAGCTCAGAGGACAGGGAATTCCTTGGCACGTCTGCCCAAGGCCCAGACTCTGAGTTTTAGTCCTATCTGAAGACAACCTTGTCTCCAAGTGAATGACCTACCTGGAACAATTTATGTTCTAGGAGCAAATATCTACCCGCAGACGTGCCCACTTATGCTCATCAACTCTAAACTACACATTCACGTGAATGCCAGTGAAAGGAAGGTCCTTACAGGAATCTGCACCTGACCTTGGGTCCAGAAGCAACACCAGGGACATAGCAGCCTTAGCTGAAGATGGACATCTTCTTCATGCAGCCATAAATCTACTCTGCTGTGATTCTCACTGGGGATAAAAAGTGCAAGCTACAAGCTTGTACTCCAAATGTTGTGTACTATATTCCACATGCTGTGTACCATACTATCCATCCACCAAGTTCCATAAGAAATGAAGGAAAAAAAATTCCCCAAAACTAGTTCAGCCGCCATCTAAGGATGTGCAGATTCTGGTTCTTAGGGTACAGTTATATCAAGGTCCAAACTAACACCAAGGAATTAAGGATTTCCTCCTCCTTTTCTAGAACTTTCTGTTACCCCTTTACTCATTGGGGAGAAAGTGACTAGTAGGTGCTTTATTTTGCCATTAATTTATGACATACCAAGTCTGTGAAATATGTATCCTTCATGCCCATTTTACAGATAACATGACTGAGATTCAGCACAGCTAATCATCTTTTCCCTGGATCACACGGCTAGTAAGTATTGAGTAAGGACTTGAAACCAAAACTGCACAGGTTCTAGTCCTAAGCTCATTCTACAAGGTGCTGGCCCTATGACAAACTCTGACTGGCAGAAGACTAGAGCCCTATTGCCATTGTCCTTAGTCTTTTTTTTTTTTTGGTTTTTCTCCGGTACTGGGAACCGAACTCATGACCTTGCGCTTGCCAGGCAGGCGCTTTTGCCGCTGAGCTAAATCCCCAGCCCCTTGTCCTTAGTCTTATAAAGGACAGGTATGCTCTCTAAAGGAAGGTTCAGTTATATTGTTCACATAATAAATTTCATATAATAAAATAAATTCAATAATAAAAGTGTTGTGGGCAGTTTGCAGACATAGCATGTGATGACAAAATCCTGACATTTCTCAATGACTCCAGAATGCTCCTCAGTCATCAGTTTGACACCAAGAGGCAGACAAAGGAAAGCAATGGCTTAAACCATTCCTTCAGACCAAGGTAACCATCAGCAAGTACTAGCAGGTCATCTCTAACACAAATTTCAAACTGCTCCACTCTCTTCCACTTCTGCTGGTCCAAGCCACCAACATATCTCTCCAGAAACATGATGAGTCTAGAATAATCCTTGGTCCCAATTTCCCTATCTGTTAATGCTGGCTTCCCCGTAAGCAGATGTGATGGCTTTATTCAATAGCAAATCCTACTGAATGATTACTATTTGCAATCACCGTCTTGAGTCCTGGCAAGGTCAAAATGAGTAAGACACAGCACTTACTTAGGAGAAACTGGACTCTATTCATGGTGGGGAAGAGTGTGTAAGTGAGTAATAAGTATGGTTGTCTACTCTGTGCCCTAACAGAAAATCAATGAGGAGACATTATGTCACCAAGGAGCAAGAGGTCAGTACCATTTGATTGAAGACCATTCTTAAACTGGGTTTCAATGACAGGGAAGATTTCCCCTGACAGAAGGGTCAGACTAAGATGTGAAGGATATGCACAGCACCACATTCAGGAGAATCATATCCAGGGAATGGGACGTGGCTCACCGTGGCTGGTTATACAGTGTGAAGGGACAGGGATACAAGTGGAAAGTGAGGTTCAACAAGTAGACTCATGCATGGAGAATTACACTTCTGTGCTAGACTAAGCAGAGCCTGTATGAAAGTCTTATCCAGTAGAAGGGCTTTAAGCAGAGGCAAATCTTAACTAAGTTGTCCTTTAAAAAATTATTCGGACAGATGCCTAGGAATAGATTAGGAGTTAACACAGTAGAAACAAAGACTGCAGAGAGCAGGCTGGCAATAAGCTAGGCAAGCAGGATTCCCTGAAATATCAGAGAGAGAGACAGAGTAGAATGGATGTGGCCACTGAGAGATCAGGTAAGAGATCAACCTTCTTGGACAGTTAAAATTTCCAGGCTAGAGTGGTTCCCGGTACCGGAAAAAAACAAACAAACAAAAAAAGATAGAGTGGTTTGTTGATACCATTTTCCCAAACACAGCATGTGGGAAGAGAAGCCAGTTTAGGAAGCAATGTAAGAAGCTTGCTTTGTTTTATTTTAGTTTTCTGCGTTTTGAAGAATAGAGTCCACTCCTGTGTAAGGTGACAAAGGCAGAACATTATGGCTGGTGCTCCTGTTGCTTGAAGATGGCTTCAGGAGTTAGGACCTCTTAAGCCAGTCACTTACCATTTCTTTGCCTCCTCCCTGGCATGGGGAAAGCAAGTTATGATCACTTCTTTCCTCATGGGGGTGTAGTGAGGCTTTGTTTAGCTATTTAAAGAGTCATACCACATTCAGATGAAAGGAGCTCTGTTAGTGAGAAACATAAGGAGACCAAGCACAAAGAAATGCTTAAAAGGCCGCCTGAAGGGTAGGAGACAAGCTTGCAGGGGGTTTGTTCTGGCTTCATAATTAGATTTAAAGATCTAGAGATGAAAAACAAAAGATACGGGCAGCAGAAGATGAGGATTAGTTGTCTCTCCAGATGGATTAACATTTGGATTGTTTTTCCCAGATATGACTGGCCTGGCTTAAAAACCTGCTGTATTTTTTCTGCAAGGGGACGCTGACATGGTGGCCAAGGAGACCTCAGGGGGTCCCTAAAGACACAGCTATCAACTCCTTGGCTTAGCGCAGGACTCTCACTCTGCAGAGGTGTGGAGGCTGAGGCCAGGCAGCCCCAGGCATGGGCTGCAGCTCTTCAGCAGCCCAGGGAGCCACCACCAGCCCCCACCTCCATAAAGCCCATGGGGAAGGAACATCAGACACTTGAGCGCAGAAGCCTGGAAAAAAAATAGAAAGAAGTTTGCTTGGTCCTGAGCACCAGATGGCTCCCTTTCTGATAAGACTCTCCAAGTGTCCAGGGCATCCTCTCTTCCCAGCTAACCTTTGAGGCAGCCTGTTCTCTCACTACACCTGGCTCCCACCAGCTGCTCCTCCCCAAGGGGCTCTGTGAAAATGAGTCAGACTTTGTAAGTTCTGAGTAAACAATTTCACTCCCAAGTTACCAGTCTCTGGAAGAAATGGCAGCTTCTTCTGCCTGCGTGACCTGGCTAATTCACACTCACACTTTCTTCCGCTCCCTCCCTGCACAGTCTCTAGCACTTGAGTGTTCTTACCTATCCCTGAAGGCCCTGACAAGTCACGCTCCCCACTCCTCTCCCCAAACTCTTCCCAAGTCAAGATCCTCTTTCTCTCCTTCTCCTTGTTCTCCTGTTGCATTTTACTTGTTATAACCCCAAGTTCAATTTATCTGCATTATGGTTGCCATGGCTCCAAGGTTCTCCCTCGCTTTTACTTTCCAGGCCCTGGAGCACACAGCTCTGTTGGACTCAGTCTGGTAGCCTCCGGGGCCTGCCACATCGGGGTTGTTTAGTCAATGTTTGCTGAATTCATTAGAACAGGAAAGGAAACTCAGCAAGTTGCCCTGTTGCAGTGAGAAGAGGCAGGTGATTTCACAATGACTGTGTTTCTGCTGGTTGCCTGAGTTTCATAACCCAGTGTTATTGCAGGGGGACTTGGGGATGTCTGGCAGGAGCCGTGGTTATAGGGCTGAGAATATCCACTGGCCAGACCTAGTGGTTCATAGAGCAGCTTTGTGCTTCTGGGGAGGGTTTTAGCTCAGACATGGCTTGGTTGAGTCCAGGGTTTTGAGCTCCACAAATAACAGGCAAGTCTCTGACCCTTTCTGATTCTCAGTTTCTTTACATGTAAAGTAATGATCACCATCCCTGCATTTGCAAATAATGGCACAAATAGCGCTTAATATATGTGTAATCTGTGGTACGGGTAGGCACTTTGCACAGGGTCTGCCACCAAATTGGTGTGCAATCAATTTGTTGAATAATTCATTCACTGATGGAGAATATTAACTAAAAGAAGGCTCAGTCTGGAGGTGGGTGATGTATGGCCCATGAACAAGCCTGGATCTTGCAATACAAACCAGCAAAAATGTTTATGTGTTGATGCATCTGTAATTTGGAACATGGAAACCTGAATTCTGACCAAGTGTCACTGGCATTCAAGAATATGCCAAATAAGCTATTCCCCTTCTGGGTGTTTTCCCAGAAGAATTAAAGACATTATACCACAGTGATATATGTGCACCCATGTTTATAGCAGCACAATTTGTTATAGCTAAGTCTTGGAAACAACCCAGATGCCCATCCACTGAGGAATGGATAAAAAAGATGTGGTATTTTTTATACAATGGAGTATTAGTCAGCTATTTAAAAAGATAAACTTGAGGGTTTTGTAGGTAATGGATACAACTAGAGACCATACTCATAAGTGAAGTAAATCAGACCCACATGTGTAAACATCATACTGTCTCCGTGGTGTAGGAACCTGAAAGACTAGGTAAAACTTAAAACGTACAATAAACAATAGGAAAAGGAAAGAAATTGCTCAAAGGAATGAATGACTGGGATGAGGGAAATAAGAAAACAGAAAGAAGGCAAAATATAAATATATATATGAATAGCTGCGATAACTGTATTGCTGATATCTGATGGTGTATTAAATGAACAGTTAATACTTACAATTTTGTATGTTCTGATAGATTTTGCATGCTTGTGTTTGGTGGTCTGAGCAACTGATTTGAAGGTAACAGTATGCACTGGAATTATAATGGTGAACTCCTACCATCTTGTCTAGTGAAACTCTGTATTATCTCTAATGTTTTATCAAAGAATTATTTTCTTATTCTCTTTAATGGTTTGAGCAATCTTTCATTCTTATATCTGGTAATCTGAGCAATGTAGCTGAGGATAGTGATATGTAATGTAACAACCACTGGTAATTCCTAATATTTTGTCTTTAGACCCTGTATCACTTTGAATGTCCTTGCTCTGATTTGTTTATGTTCGTGATACTGGTATGCTGCTACTGCCCTATTTTTTTGTTTGTTTGTTTGTTTGTTTGTTTGTCATTTACTACTCTCTTTAAAATTAAAAAAGAAGAATATGCTGAATGATTTTTCTCAGCATTGACCACACCAGGTCAAAGCCATGGTTCCCACCATCTCCACAGGAGCATCATGGGTAATAAGCCCCACAAGGCTGTGGACTCTTTTATGAAATGTAAACACAGCCCATAGTAAGTAAGACATAAACAAGTGTTAGTTTTATATTTGCTATCGTCTTTTTCCCCTGTAGACTAAATTCTTTGAAGTTAGAAACTATGTCAGTTTTGCTTTGCACTCTGTACTCACATCTTTAGTACAATACCTGATAGATCAGGTGTCCTAGAGACTGAACAAAGGAATTAATGACCTGTCTGGTGGCTTTAAACCTAGAAGCACAGAGGCTGTGATTATCAGTAACATTTGCTCCATTCTATTGGCATCCAGTGATTTCTAGTCAGATGCGGTGACCAGTTCAAGGCAGGAAGTATTTCAGCTGTGAAATCTGTGATTGCATTGTATCATGAATAAAAATAAATCAACATTTTTCTTTTTCTTCCTCAATCTAGTTATTATCTCTGCAATAATTGGGGATTGGGAGAAATTCTATGTTCTTTCTTTTTTTAAATGTTGACCAACAAACTTATGATCTTGAATGCATGGTAATAATTAGTATTGATTAACTTATTTACAAACTTGGGCACATAGATTTATGCTGGAAATTCTGCAGATTTGCTTCAGCATGGGCACTGACAGAGAACAATCCATGACCACTATGCATTTCCTCCGAGCCTGAGGCCCACACTTCTGATGCTGACCAAACTCGTTACTGCAGGAGAAGGAACAAAGAAGGAAGTGATCATTTTTTTAATGTGCCAGCCATGGGCAGAGACTTTGCATTCATGTGGCAGTAATTTGGGCTACCCACCAAGCATATGGCTCAAGCTATTCTTCTGCAGACACTTTCCATCCCCCTTAAAGTTAGGTTTACCCACATGAATTGCACTGGATGATGAAATGTAAGCAGGAGTGATACCCATCACTTCTGCAGTGATGTTTGAAGAGCCAGATGGTTGCATACATGCTCACTTTCCCTCTGCCATGGCAGGGTGCCACGTGGTCCAGCCTCCTTTACCTTAGCCCCAGACAGAGAATGATCCTGGAACAGAATCCCCAGATGACTCCCCATGAATACATGTCCTTACCAAGCAATAAATCTTTGATTGTTTAAGGCATTAAGACCTAGACAGTCATTTATTGCACCAGGTAGCGTGGTCTGTCCTAACTGATAAAATGTGTTAGTTCATTAAAGTCTCCTTTTTAAAAAAAAAATCCAAGAAGAGGGTCTTGGGAAACAATTCTTAATGGGTCTCATGCATCCCGTATGTCTTGGAAGTAAATCACTAACTGCCTTTGTTCCAGAATACTGTATCTCCTCAAGGACGTTTATACAGCCAACAGCTGGAAATTAGAGAAAGTATCTTCCTTCCACAGCAAAGGGCAAGTACACTTACCATCCTTTTCAAATTCAGGATCCCTAGGCTCAGGACCTCTCAGCTTTAACACAGCTCACTCTGTGCGGGCATCCATCTGAGCTGTAAGGAGAATTTTATAAATATGATGATGTTCATGTTCTGCTGCACCATGAATAATAACGTTCATCTATCTGACCCAAAAGTCCTATATCTTCCGCCAGCATCTTTGAAACAATGGCAAGCTAACATAGTAGCTTGACAGTTGATAAAACCTCTACTGTCATTTCGTAGATCTTCTCAGTAGATGTTAGCATTACCATTTGCACATGGTGAAACTGAGCTTCAGAGAGAATATTACCTAATGTGACTCCACAAATGATTGGTATATCCTATTTTCCCCAATATTTCCTATTACTTGCCATAGAAAAATACTTAAAATGTGGTTTATTCATTTATATATTCCTGAATTGAATCTTTTCATTTATTTTAATTAATTTCTATTAAATAACTACTTTAAGCACTGTGCTAGGTGCTGTTTTCTAGAATTCTTTACAAATTAGCATTGTGTTCTCCCAACAAAACCATTTTGATACTGAATGTAAAAGATTTGAAATTGTTTTCATTTCAGCATATACTACACCTATTCTCAACTGCCTTCACCCAACAAGTAAATGACCTGGATAATGTAGACAAGAATCAGACTTTCTATAATTTGACATCAAGAGTACATTTTTCCCATTGGAGCTATAATAGGTCTTGGAGCTTTGGAGGTCTCTGGAGGAAGCAGAGTACGTGTAGAATCAAGTATCTTTGGGGTCCTATAAATTACTTGCTACTCACGAACAGCACTTGGACCCAAGCAGGGGATTAACTCAATTTCCCTATCTTCTCTGAGTCCCTCCACCAGATGGAGAGGGACCAAGGGCTTAGCATGACTAAGCTAGAATAAAGGTATGCACGTCCTCACACTGCAAAAATCTCAGGGACTTAGGTTCAGGAAAACTGAGCCAGTCTCACATCAGCCCACCCTTCAGTCCTCCTTTCCTGGTGAGCTTCGTGGAAAGGACCTGGCTCAGTTGATGTGCCTTCAATTCTTGACCCCAGTCTAACCCACTACTGCAACAATTTTGCTTCGGTTTTGTTCTGTTCTGTTTTGTTCTCTTCTGTTTTTAACCTCTGGAGCTATCATTTTCTCTTCCATAAAACAGGATAGTAATACTTAATTTTAAAAGTTCTTGTGAAGGTTAATACATGAGATCCCATATGTAAAGCACAGTTCTAACACACAGTAGGTTTTCAGTAAATAGCAAGAACTTGCATTATTCCTATCATCCTTTTGCTTTGGCTGAGTAGAATGAAAATCCCTTTAAACAACAACAAAAAAAATTAGAGATTAGATGCAGAGCCAGTGGCTGAAAGCCAAAGGGGGAAGATAAAGCGTTATAATTGCCTCTCCTGGGAAAAGCAATAAATCCAGGCAGCTGTGCTGCTTCTACTCTTTGGCAACCATAGGAGAGCTACGTCTGAGGACTTCTGAGTTGGAATGTGGAAGTGTCCACCATACACAAGGCACTCTGTGCATGATTCAGTGGAGAAGGAGATAGGGCAGGTTACTCCTGCCCTCTAGGAGTTTATTATTTCTAGTGACCAGTACAAAGGGAGGACTAGACACCAAAAACTTATTCACATATGAGGCAAGCTGAGGAGAGGCAAGAATGTGCAGTAGGTGTTTATACAGGGTGGGCTTTCCTTCTGATGATGGAGTTGGGACAGTTTTCACATAATACTATTTGACATGGATATTGATTGATAAAATTTCAATAGAGAAGCATGGAAAAGGAGGGCAATTAAAGCAAAAGAAAGCAACACATTTGACAAGGACCAGGTCCACCTGAATAACAGTGAGTGATACAGTTTGGCTGGCAATTGTGATGGGAAACCAGGAAAGAGAAACTGCATAATAGATGGTCTTGAGAACTTGTTTAATGTGGCTGTCAGTGAAGGGCGGCAGCCTCAGGACTATGCTGAAAGAAGATTAATCTAACACCTGTGTTCAGACCAGATCAGAGGAAGAATTTACCAGCAGAGAGCAAATGCATAAGTACGCAGCAGATTAGGCACAACAGAATGGAAGCCCTGAACTCAGTGTGGCTGCATGAGAATAGAAAGGATGATTCTAGAAGGGTGAGGATTCTAGATTCAAGGAAGTGAAGCCTAAGGACAAACTTAACAACACCTAAACCACAGCACAAGCATTCCAGAAATCTCATCTCCTAAGCACACTCGGGATGGCTGTAGGAGACCCTTACTGTGCAAGGAGGACATACATCTGAGAGCTCTGCTTCCCAGAGCCAAATCAGTCAAGGATTCCTGGACAGTTGTCTAGCAAAGGAAAAGCATTATCCATACAAAAGACTAAGCAAAGTACTCGTGGGCTATACTGCTTTTAAAGATTTTAGAAATGGGCATGATGAAGGATGTCATTGCACTGGTTCAGAGGTTTGGATTAGATTAGCTAAGATCAAGAGGTGAAGCTCCGTTTTCGGTATCTCTCCAAACCAGTGCTCACAGGGCCTCCCTTAAGGATTCCAATAGTATATTCAAATCAAAGACATTTCCAACTCTGCCATATGCAGCCCAGGAGAAGGAAGAAATTGACATTTGATTGACCAAGGATGTTAATTAAGAATTTGACTACCCCTTTCACAGCAACAGCCTAGTGGGAAACCTTGTATGCAGCTCTGGAGAATGAACTTAACAGAATAAAGAGCTGCTTCTTTTTCCAAAGCAACTTAGTAATGTGGACCAAGAGTCTGACATGTTCTCATCAGTCAAAAATTTACTTTTAAGAATATATCCAAAAAATGCTCAAAAGTGCAGATGAGGATTTATATGCTAGAAAGCTTATAAAGGCACTTTAAAAAGAGAAAAAGGAAACAAGGGAAAGAAAGAGAAGAAAAGAAAAGAAAAATAGAGAAAACAAAATAAATTGCATTAGGGCAATGGTTAAATAAATGGTGGTAGGCTGTAGAATACTTGGTAGACACTACAAATCATCCTTCTCAGTAACAAAATCTGAAGATGTGAGGGCACTGTCTTCATTAGCTACAGCCACAACAAAGCTGTACAACCATCTCATCACCCCAAAATTGTGTTTCTGAAAAATAATAGAGATTGTTTATAAGAGAATGCTAAATTTTAAAAAATCAGCCTACTACATTACATATACACTAGTACACCATGATAGATATGTGTATATGATTATGATTTTGATTGTTCTATCCAAAATGGAACGAGTAATAGGGTTCGAGGGATGGAATAGAGACAGTGTTTGTTTCTTTCTTCGTATTTTTATGAGCTTACACATTTTTCTATGATAAGTATATATTGCCAATAATCATAATAATAAATGTTTATGGAAGATTTACCATGTTTCAGGCAAGGTACTAATATATATATATATTTATTTATATATATCATGCCCTTGTAACAATTACAAAACAGACACAGTGACTGCATGCATTTTACACCTGAGTGGCTGCAACCTTGCAGAGGTCATTCCCTCAAAGTCACCAGGATGGAAAAGAATAGAAAGCAAACTCAAATTCAAATCCAGTGGCCCCAATCTCTTGACATCTACTTATTACATTAACACTTCCCTGGTTATAAATATATATGTGTGTAATGCTTTTAATTTTAAAAATGCCTTCTTTCCCTTCTACATTTTACTTTTCAGGGAGTATAGGGTGTTCAAGAGAGGAATGTATGACCCTCAGGAACAAGACTTTGGTTTTCTACCAAGAAATTTACTTTTATGCCAATGTCACCACAACAACAAATGATTAGAAACTTCTTTGCAGTAGGACAAATATAGACTATAAAAGGCCAAAGAAAACAGCTTTCTATTTTTAACGATTAGCTAATTAAGTAAATTGTGTTAAATAGTTAACACTAGAACTTATTAGAGTTTACAAGTAGATTAAGAACAAATAAGAATGTGTTTTTTACTCTGGAATAAACTAAAATGAGAAAAGCCTGCCCATTTTACCCCTGGGAATCCAAAGTTTGTCTCTTTGATAGGCAGAGTAGTAACTGGGAAGTATAATGGTCTGCATCTCGGCACAAGTCCAACCCAGCCCCTGTCAGCTGTGTGAGGACCTTGGGAGAGACCACTTACCCTCTTTGGTCTCAATTTCCTTATTATAGAACAAAGGGGCCTATATGATGTTTCGGAGTCTGATGATCTCTATTTGTATGATATATTCAACATAGAAGCTAAACCTGTATCTAATAAGGCTAGTAGATCCCAGACACAGGAATCTAACATTTTGCATGAACTCTCTCCTCTAGAAAGCGGGTCCCCTGCCTTCCTCCCCAGCCTGCATATCCCAGCTATAAGCACAGGTCTTAGTCAAAGCTTTCTGCCACAAAGCAGCTGAAATGGCTGTGATACAAAGGACAGTGTGGTGGGAAATGGGCTGCTGTAGTTGTCAAATCACTTCCTACCCATGCTTCCTTTTGGAACTCCTAGGAACACTGCATTCTGAGCCCCTATCCCTTTAAGCACTTTCTTTGGGATTCAGGAATCATAATCCCAAGGATCACTGAACTAATTTATAAAAAGAGAAAAGGAAGTTATTTCCTGTGCATGTAGCATGATTTCCCCACTGACAATGCACTCACACACGGGGCTGGCAGTGCCTGGCTTGTTCTCCTGCACACCAATTGATATTCTCTGCACAGCACAACACACAGGAGAGTCAAGGCCAAACACAGATGATACACAATAGAAACAGGCTAAGAGGAGGCTGCTTACTGGGGGATGGGTCCTCTTACCCCATTTGTTTTCAGATAGTCAAGATCAGAAAGAGGAGCCGGCTGTTAACAATGTATTTGAAGAACAAACACCTGTGTTAATTGTTCCAGCATCGACCTTCAGAAACTTCAAAGAACCAAGATATAATTCTGAGCTGCCTGGCTGTGGTAAACCACCCCCACCCCCTTCCTTGTTCAACTTCATTCAGTAGCAGTAATAATTATGTCTGTAATGAGCAGGGGACTAACACATGCTAGACCCCATTGACCACACAGGTTGGAGGAGTTGGGTCAGAGCTAGGTGCT